TTTAAAGCACCAGGGGCTGGAGCAGGTGGGGTAGCCATGGCGGGGGGCTGGGGCAGCAGGCAGGAGATGGAGCCTGGCAGGGGTCCCCTCATGGTCCCCTCCCAGCTCCTCCAGCCCCTGCTCCCCGGCACCCTACTTACCAGCATGGAGTCTGGATTCAGCTCCCTGCTGCTGCCATCAGGGAATGCCCAAATCACTGAAGCTCTCCAAATCTTTTCCGAATCAATTCGGAGAGCTTCAAATTGATTTGGACCTTTTAATTGGTCCCCTACTTCGATTTGGATTTGGTGATTCGGGCACCGAATTGGGCCAAATCTCCTTTGAATTGAATCAGCACCCGAAGCTTTGCACAGCCCTATTAAGTAGCTACTTGTGGCTCATGAAGCACAATCAATAGATTATTGGGTCTCTGGTCGAAATGACCAAATTATTCTACTTAGGCATGTGCCTCCATTGTGGATACGGCAGACCTATACCACCCCAGAGCAGCTCCAGATAGAACTATAGCTTTAGGCACACAGTTCCTCCCATAGCCCCGTGATGTGGTGTGAGACAATGCCTGATGCACCACATCTCCAGTGCACCTTCTGAGTCCTGAAGGACAGGCCCATGACCTTGCCTCCTCTTCATTACATTTGAGGTGAGTTATGCCTTTGAGGGCCAGGAGGAAGCAGTCCCTGTATTTCCCCAATAACTAGGGCTATAACTGTCCCTGGACCTCAATAAGTGGGTAGAGAGGTTGAGAGAAAGGCACTTCCTATTCCTCCTTACATACAATATATTTAGAGCAACAAGTCACAATCTAGGCCACATATTGTAGGTCTCAAACAATCCTCATGAACTAAACAAAACAGAATTAGTATTAGTTAAAGATTTATTGAATTTAGTATATAGTATGTTGTTCAGACTTGAGCATTTTTAAATTCCTTTTCTTGCAAACGTTACAAGCAACCCAAGCACCATAGCACTTCCTTTGTACAAACCTCTCTATGTACTATATTTTCTACATGGAATGCATTGGACTTCATTATTTTGGATTAATTCAGTTGCAATGAAATTCTTTAGGGAAGAAGATTTCTATAAGATCTCTATTGTGGGGTACCCTAATTTAACTGGGTCATCCGCTGCATGGGGTTGAAATGGGATCCTCTAAGGTACTGGCCAATCATTAAGAGCTTCATTTCCTCCATGTACAAAACCATTATCTCTGATCTGACACATGGCATGGTGATCATTTCTTACGTTGCCTTTTTCTTTCCACTGCCATACTCAGGGTCTTCATAATCAGGTTTTCATTATTCAAGATGTTGTATTCACACAGTTTAACCAGTTGATCATAATCTTTCTCTGTGTACCTGACGGAATATGTAGAATAAGGGGAAGAGGAACTGGTAAGATCAACTTTGCCTTCCTCCATCTCTGACTCAGAGCGCTTCACTCCTAAGAAAAAAATGAATAGGACACTGGTGAGGTTTTGAGCTTAGCTGTATCACATACAAACAAACAGCTGCTAACATCCAAGAGAAAGGAGATATCTCTTCAGTAAGAAAATTCAGTGGCTTAATTGCTCTGAGGTTTCTTGATTGGTTGGGGGTTTTTTGTTCCTCCCCCAAAGTGTTTCTTTTGCAATCCAGTAACTAAGTCCCTGGTGAATGTGAGATTAATATGAATTGCTGGATGTGGTGACAGAAGAGGAATAGGGAAGTGTATCTACATTACAATCCAGAGGTCTGATTGCAACTCATATAGATGTACCCCAGGTCACTATAAACTAGCTAGCTTGGGCATCAGTAACAGCATAGCCACAGAAATATGGATCTAAGCATAGGCTGCAAAACCTGCCCAGAAATTTGGGTAAATGCTCTGGAAGGTTAGCTTTTTCTGAACTCTGTAATCCCCTAGTTACATGGGTATCAGTTTCTTTATTAGCTAATTTATAGTTAAATCAAACATCTTTACGTGAGCTGAAAGCAGGCTTTTGGATTGCAGTGTAACTACATGCTAAGTATAACCCTTATTAGAAGTGGAGGAGAAGTACAAGGGTGAGGAACAGAAATGAAAGTGGTATTCCCTAAATGTATCATTGAAGGTGAGACAGTTCCTAACCAACAGAAAAAGTATTCCTGTAGAAAAGAGGAATAGTGATACTGGCAATAAGGAGATGATTTATAATGAAAGCAAAGATGTACTTTGTACTCTTGAGAGTGACTCTGGACTTTTAATATTTTGTAACAAAGGCTCAAGTTTAGATACCCTGAAAAAAGGCTAAAGGCAAAGAAGCTTGTGATGTCGCTAAGCTCTCTCTTAAATTGATAGTTCCTTAGAATTTAAAGTTCTTGCATTTTTATAATGACTATTTTTATTAATTAACAGCAAAATGAAAATGATTAAAATGCATACACTCTCTTCTAATGTAAAATGTATAAACGTGTTAAGCTACAGTGGTTTGGCAGGGGAGAAGTCTGTTGTATTGAAATAAAACACATAAGGCCTTGTTAGACATTCATTTTAGGCAGCTCTTGGAGCTCTTAAACCCTTGGATTGTCCACATACTAACATGTAAAACTTGTTTTAAGCACCTTTTAGGCAACTTAAAGTTATGCCACTCCAGGGCAGGTTTATCCAGCTCAAGTTCCATTAATGTGTGGACAGTCCCTAGAAATGAGTCACCTATACTTCAGTCCTCCAACATCCCAGGTTGCAGTGTCCTCTTTCCCACCCTCCTGTTCTATGTGGACATGCCGGAGGGCAGGGAACAGCTGCAAGCAGATCTGGACAGGTTGGACAAGTGGGCAGAAAACAACAGAATGCAGTTCAACAAGGAGAAATGCAAAGTGCTGCACCTAGGGAGGAAAAATGTCCAGCACACCTACAGCCTAGGGAATGACCTGCTGGGTGGCACGGAAGCGGAAAGGGATCTTGGAGTCCTAGTGGACTCCAAAATGAACATGAGTCGGCAGTGTGACGAAGCCATCAAAAAAGCCAATGGCACTTTATCGTGCATCAGCAGATGCATGACGAATAGGTCCAAGGAGGTGATACTTCCCCTCTATCGGGCGCTGGTCAGACTGCAGTTGGAGTACTGCGTACAATTCTGGGCGCCACACTTCAAGAAGGATGCAGATAACCTGGAGAGGGTCCAGAGAAGGGCCACTCATATGGTTAAGGGCCTACAGACCAAGCCCTACAAGGAGAGGCTAGAGAAACTGGATCTATTCAGCCTCCGCAAGAGAAGGTTGAGAGGCGACCTTGTGGCTGCCTATAAGTTCATCACGGGGGCACAGAAGGGAATTGGTGAGTATTTATTCACCAAGGCGCCCCCGGGGCTTACAAGAAATAATGGCCACAAGCTAGCAGAGAGCAGATTTAGATTGGACATTAGGAAGAACTTCTTCACAGTTAGAGTGGCCAGGGTCTGGAACGGGCTCCCAAGGGAGGTGGTGCTCTCCCCTACCCTGGGGGTCTTCAAGAGGAGGTTAGATGGGCATCTGGCTGGGTTTATCTGACCCCAGCACTCTTTCCTGCTTATGCAGGGGGTCAGACTCGATGATCTATTGAGCTCCCTTCCGACCCTAACATCTATGAATCTATGCCAGCTAGCAAGCAGAGATTTTTCCTCTGCCTCCAACTCAACCAACTTCTCCAGCATGAGCCAAAGTATGATCCCTCCTGGGCCCCATAAGGTGGGCATCTAATTGGAGCTGCAATAAGGTGCTAGACTTCATCACAATCTTAGGAGAGGAGACAACCATTGCTATGACTGCAAAGGGGACACAGTGCAACAGGAAAAATCAGGTAGTCTGAGAGGATCATGGTACAGATGATGGCTTGGGGACATCAGCAAGACTGGCTGCACATCCACACCAAAATTAAGTCCCTTTAGTCACAAGTTACAGCTGTACAGTTTGGGGACACTCAGAGACAGTTTTTAGCCTTAATATGTGGCTGCTCTAAACTTGAGCTAGCACTAACACCGATCAACATTTGAGCAGCTCAAAGTGCAACATGTAACAAGGCCCATCGCTAGCCACGTTAGTCTGAATTCAAGCACAAGGCAGAGTAGATTAGCACCTTCTAGACTAACCAAAGTAGATATATATATCTGTAGCACAAGCTTTTGTGAGCTTTAGCTCACCTCCATCAGATGTTGTGCTGAAATGAGCCAATAGGGAGGATTATAAGTTAAACAACAGAATACAGGTAGTGGATAGGATGGCCTTGATGACCTTAGTTGAATGCTGTTGGTTACTTACCAGGTGCTTTGTAATTTTGGAAGGTGTCATTAACCAGTGGAAAAAATAGCAATATCGGAGCTCCTGGTGTCTCTGCACCATCAAAAAGGTAGCACTCCTTCAGATTTTTTCTGTCTTCTTCACTGACTTCAATTTTGGGGAATGGAATTCCTAGTTCCGAGTAGTACTTACAGGACTGGTCCAGAGGCTGGATCAAGGAACAGAACAGCATTAAAATCTAAATAATAGGCTGTATTCAGAATTTCCTGAAGCCAAACAAATGATGAGTAATTGTCTTAGGTTACCAGTAGGATAGTTTCAAACTCATGGATTTAATAACATCTATTGCATTTCTGCTTACTACAACAAGAGACTGTACTAAATGATCTAGGTGCTCCCTTCCAATCCCAATCTAAATGGGAAAAGCTTACAAATGATATAACTCTTACTTCAGAAAATAGCAAATAAATTGATTTTCCTCACCAGTATCTGTGATCCTGCACTATAATTTAGATGGAGGATGACATCTACTTTTCTCTGGGGCCTCAGAAGTGGTGGGGTGCTGGTATTGATGAAAAAGCCAGTATCTACTAGGGACAGGTATGCTTCTGTCTCAGTGAGCTGGTTGGGTGAATCACCTAACACAGTATCTAAAAAAAGAAAATATTTTTGTCATGACTGAAATAGCCAGAGAGCAGTTGCTGTTGAAAAGTGTGTCCAAGAAGAGAGGCTATTTTACCCCATCCTACACATCTGATTTCACTTGTGTGTGTTACACTCATTATACCACTGAGATATATTATCATATATCACAACTTTCTCTGCCATAGGACCCTCTTGTCAACATTATACTGAACCCATCCAAACTGCACCAAAACCTATTTTTGATTGGCAGTGGTAACACTGTCCTGATGAAGAGGGGTATTTTTCTAGTCTCCCTTTTAGTGTCTCTTCTCTTTCAATAGAAAATTGTGGGTGCTGTCATTACACTGAGCATCCCTAAATAGGTCTAGTCAACTGGCTGCATCTTAAGCATAAATTATCTAAAGGCCAAATAAATCAATGTTACTAGAGATTTTCAGCCAAGTATGGTTCAACCTTTTGACCAAAACATGCTGTTTAAAAGTAGGCTCGTGCTCTGACACATGAGAAAGCAAGTTTTATTTTCTTTATTTTTTAAAAGAAATTTTTCTCTCAAGTTGCATAATTTCCTTTCTATATTCTAGCCCCAACCCCCAACAAAAATGCTGCTGAAAAGAAACTGCTCTTACCTTTCCATCTACAAAAGTTGTCATTGTTCAGGTAGTCATTATGCATCTGGAGGCCCTTTAAGAAATTATGGTAGCAGGCAACTGTCAGGCGTTCTGTCATGACACCTCGAATAGCTTGGGAGAGGGGGCCTGCAGGTTTGAATAAACGAGTCTTTAACTCATGGGGTCTTGTAGGCAGTATAGGCTCCTCTTCTGTAAAAAGAAAGAATCAAAAGATTTGTTGTCAAGATTATTTTTTTCAGAAGTCTAAAATAGCACAATTCATAACACGCAGCCATACATGAAAGTATAGTGTCTGTGTTGAAAGTTCTCATGAGCCTTTTAAAAGGTAGACAATGGCTTTTTAAAATCTAATAAGACATGTCTTCATATATCTCAGATTTAGATTAAAAACAGAACTCTGAAATCCTATTAGCAACCAAATAACATACAATCCCCATGCCACTAGTCCTGAAAAGTAGAAAAGATTGACCTGCATTTGACAATTTTAAAATTCAGCAAATGATAATAACTATTGTTTTTTGTATTACTGTAGCCCCTTGGAGTCCTAATCCAATACCTCTGTGGTATTTTTTGCTTCACTAATCATTTGCAAATCAGTCCTGTTATTCCTGAACACATTTACTTTGTTGTTTTTTGTTAAAGGTCCAGGAGCTCGGGCAGGGGGTTCATGGCAGAGCCCCCACACAGCATGGGGCAGTGGGGATCGCATCCTCGCCTGGCAGCACCCAGTGACTAGGGGCTTTCTTTTAAACAACTGGGAGCTGGGGTTGGGTGGGGCAGCCATGGGGGAGGGTGGGACTGGGAGAGTGGGTGGGGGACGGAGGGTGCTTGGTGGGGCTGGGGGAGCGTGCAGAGGGCCCCCCATGGTCCCCTCCCCTCTCCTCCAGCTCCCCCTCCCCTGCCCGCTACTTACCAGCATGGAGTCTGGGTCCAGCTCCTTGCTGCAGCCAGTGGAGACTGCCGGAATTTCCAAAGCTCTCTGAATCATTCTCGAATTGATTCAGAGAGCTTCAAAATCAATTTGGACCTTTTAATTGGCCCCCTGATTCAATTCGGATTCAGAGATTCAGTCACCGAATCTCCTCCGAATCGAATCAGCAGCTGAAGTTTCACACAGCCCTAGTAGGCAGGTGGTATGGGATAGTCATAAATTATTTACCTTATTTGCCTGAATCCAAAATGACTTTGAATTTAAGATGACTCTGAAATAATTAGATTTTATACATGCAAAATTGAAAAATTGTAAATTCATTATAATTTTCCATGAGTAGAATCTAGTTATTGGAGGGTCACCTTAAATTTGCTACAGTGAGAAAAGCTGCGGCAAGCAGGCAGGCAGTGGGGATGCTCAATGAGTATTGGTCAGATCCTCCATCCTAAGACAAGGCTTTGTTTCCCCTATTTTAAATGGGGAAAAAGAAACTCATTTTGGAAACTGGCAAATATGGTAATAGCAGCTTTATGACAAGTTTAAATATTTGACTTTTCAAACTGCTCCTTTCCAAGTATGGTACTGAGGTATTTTCAGGTGGGCTTTGAAAATAAAATTCCAGGATTTGTGTCCATGGTGTCCTTATTAGATGGGTTTGAAGCTGAATGATAATACATGGTTGGTAGAAGAATAAAGTAACTCACCAATACAGTCTACTCTGTCTTGGGTCCACCTGTGCCAGAAATCTTCTGAAGAATGGGACAGAGTCCAGTTATATATCAGATTCAGGGAAAATATACTGCTCCACATGCCTGTGACAGGAAAGAGGGTGAGTACTACTGAATCAAAGAGCATTAAAAATCATGAATTAGGCTCCTAAGACATAAGATTGGCTTAATAGCCTTGATATATTATTATACTAAATTAAATTCCTTCCCAAGTCACCATTCTTTTATTTATTAAATATTCTCCTGAATCGATTCACTGCGGTGGCTGGGGAGGAGCAGCGGGCCCGGCCTAATGCTGCAGCAGCAGGGGAAGGGGAGGAGTGAGCCTCCTTCTCCCCTAGGGCTTGAGCTCACTCCTCCCCCACCCCACCTCCCCTGCATCGGCCTGGAATCCACTCCTCCCATCCCCCTGCTGCCACTGGATCAGCCCAGGCCCCCTGCTCCCTCCTCTCATTGCCATGGCGGGATGGCTTCTCCCCACCCCCATGGTCTGGTCCTCCCCTATAGTTCCTGCATTGGGCCTGGGCCTGCTCTTCCCTTCCCCCTGCTGCTGCAGCGGAGAAGGGGGGGAGTGGGCCTGGACCCCAAGCAGTGGGGAAGCGGGGAGTGGGCCTGGATGGGGGGGGGCATGGGGATCCTCCCCCTCTGCCCCTCCAGCCCGATCATTCTTGATGGGCAATTGGCTAGTGCTTCAAGAAGAATGTGGGCAGATTGGAAAGAGTGCAGTGCAGAGTGACAAAAATGATTAGGGGCCTGGAAAGCAAGACTTATGAGGAATGGCTGAAAAATTTAGGGGTACTTCATCTGGAGAAGAAAAGTCTGAGGAGGAATTTGGTAACAGTTTCCACATACCTGAAGGGTGATTGTAGAGAGGAAGAAGATGAGCTTATCTCTGTGAGTGTAGGGGACAGAACTAGGAGAATATCCTCAGGGGAAAGTTAGGTTGGAGATTAATTGGAACTTTCTGACTGTGATGGTGATCAAGCATTGCAATAGGCTACCTGGAGAAGTTGTGGAATCTCCATTTTTGGAATTTTTCAAGAGCAGGCTGGACAGACACCTGGCTGGGATAGTTTAGCCAAGTACAATCTTGTCTTGAGCAGATGGCTGGACTAGATAACTTTGGGAGGTCACTTTCAGCCCTGTCTTCCTATGATCCTTTTCTTTACAGACTAAATTCCAGATTCTTTAGATGAATCCTAGCCCATTTCACAGCAAGGGCAAAAACCCCATGGCTTAACTGGATTTGGGATTTGATTGCTAACAAACTACATTGTCATATAAAATAAAGTAGAAAATATTTAGTATATAGTTGTTGCTACTCGCATGCTATTTCCAGTTGCATGCTTTAACAATACAATTATATCACTGTATTAAATAATAATTTAAATGCGGTACAGACAAATACTTTTATATGTGATAGTGTATCATCTTTGTCAGTCATGTACCAGTGAGACACTCATGCCTGGCTTATGTAGTTATTTAAGTTATCATTTCTCTGACATTTTTCCTGAACAATAAATCACCTTCTAGGTAGCAGATCCGGGACTCTGGCAGCTTCTTTATCAGCCGACCCATGAAGAACTCACTACCAAAATCCTCTGAGCGAATGAAAGCTCCATATTTGAGAAATCCCACCTCGTAAGGGGTGAACTCCATCCATTCTATAATCAGAGTCACAAAAGAGACACAAAAAAGAACAGTTTTTTTTTCTCAGTTCACTGGTTCTGGATAAATAGTTATATTGTTATCAAAAGGATTAAAGGAGTTAGACAAGGAAATTCATTTTCTGGGGTTCAGTCTAACATTTCAGATCCTAGGCCAACACTAGAGATGTACAAACGCCACAAAATAAAAATAGTGACCAAAACAAGGTAATTGATCTTTGACCTGCTGAGGTAGAAGATAAGATCCTCAGTTGGGCTAAGTTGGATAAATTCAGGAGCCTTCTCCCAATTTACATCAGCTCAAATTCTAGCTCTTAAATTAGGTTTTATGTTATCCCATACCCAAAGTGAGCCCTCCTAAATTTAAAATCAAGTACCTGTCTGAAATATTATTTTACCTTTGAAATCCCAAGTGCTATAGTTGTCCTTGACATTGAGTGCTGTGTAGATAGGTAATGGGTTCTGACCCTGGTTCACTGCCTCTCGCTGATCTGAGAGTTTATGGTTGTCTTTCTGTTACCCAAGAAAAATGATTAAAATGAGAAAAAAACATATGGAACTAGCATGGGAACCTACACAATTATTCTGGGCTTGGAATATATTTAAATGCCCACATTTCAAGCATGTTATTTCTTTTATTACAGCATTGTGTGTGGGAGTTATTTGTCTAATATGTGGCTGCCAGTTCTTGATACAGTAGATAATTTGATGTTGCCTTTAAATAAATATGAAAGGGGGTGTTTTAAAAAGGGAAAACAATATTTAAAGTGCAAAGAGAACTTCAGGAGTAAATCTAAGCTAAAATTGAGTATCACAAGATGAAACTCCTGTTTAAAGTTCATTGCTCCAGATATACATTAGATTATTCAGGCATGAATGACAAACATGAATAAAAAATGGTTACTTTGTTTTCAGAATATGCCAACAGCACTTGTGATGTTTTTGCAAACTTTCCCTTCAGGGATGCATATCTCAAATATGTCAAAACACGATTAGAAGTCTTGTGAATGCACATGGATCTGTACACACACACACACACACACACACACACACACACACACCCGCCCACCCACCCACACACCCCGAAACTCAGCACTCATGATGAACACAAACAGGATAGTTTTCCATAAGGTATAAACATCTGGAAATAATCTTCCATTGGAAGTGTTTTCTCACTTCATTTATAGGGATATTAGTGCAATATTAAATGTTCAGGCTTTATGGTATACTGTACCCCATCGTGTAACAAATATTCAACGATGAGCCCCCATAAATCTATGAAAGATGTCCTGTGTCCTTCTGTTTTCCGTTGACTTAGCTGCTGCTTGTAATACTTCAAACGCTCCAGTGAAAAGGAACCCAGTTTGCATTTCGTTGCCTGTTTCTGAGCCTCATTGATTTTCTCATCCAGATCCTTCTGTGACCAATCGGCATCTTGGTATAAGTTTGCCATGGTCCTGAGAGGAAAAGGTGAGGCTTGAATTAGAAGTTTGCTAAGCTCAGCTTTTCAAATTGAAGGACTTCATGTAAAATTCAAGGTTTTCTGCCCTGATCTAAGCTGCTTTTGAGTTCTAATGTCCCTAAAAATATATTATATGAACTTTAAAGGGTCACAAAAAATCCTTCCTGTAAATTTAACAGGACCTGAGCGATTTCCTTAAAACAGCATTCTTCTGTGATGACACTAATTATCAACAAAGGAAGTCAGAAATAGGGCTGGGGTCACAATCTTAGCTATGTAGAACCTGCAGTGGTCAGCCCCAGGATATTTCTTTAGCATGGGTTATTGTGTGAACAGTATATAGAAAGAAAACTTAAAGAAAAATGCTTATGTGCTCCTTACCATGTTGTTCCAGATAAACCAGTTATGTATGTAGCACAGTCCAAGAGATTTAGCTTCTTGAGACCCGACAAACTGCCATACGTCGTTGTCAATGACCTCATCCCCCCTCCTGTTGTCATGATTGCTATCACTGGAGTCTGGACAACACACAAAAGAGAAAAGGCATGAAAAAAAATTGACATATTAACACTTAGCACCAGAGGAGCTTAGGTGGACCACTAGATCAAATCCATATTCAAACTTCAGAGCTGTCACCTGTCTTCACACAAGAGCAGAACTTGAACAACAGGCACACACATGAATGCACTTTGGGGAAGTTTATAATCTGATTTGGACCCTAACTGTCACTCAGGACCCCATCTACATTGGACAGAGAAAGGTAGGAATGATAAGTTCAGTTGCTTTTGTTCATGTGTTAGTGTTATTTGTCTTTAGTGTGCCTAATGTATATATAAGGAACAAATATGAAAGGAAATGAAGTCCTTGCCCCCAAAACCTTATGACACACACACAAAAAATGCAGAAAGGGGTATCAAAGGTAAAGCAGGAAGAGAATGCAGAAAGGACAGTATCATGAAAATCCAAGGAGGAGCGAGATAAAGGAGTAATATGGTTTTAAAAGTAGCAAAGAAACAAGGAGGGTGAAATGGAGTGGACTGAGAATTTGATATTAAGATATTGAGTAACAGCAATTTCAGCAGAGGGAAAAAAGCAAAAGCCAACATGAATATGATCACAATGAAGACGAATGAAACTGAATTTAGGTCAGCAATCATATAAATGCTACATTCTATCATTTCCCAGGTGGAAGAAAGATGGGGCAATAGTTTGGGAAGCAGGTCAAATGAGGTATAAGTTTTTAGGATGGGGAAAGACCACAGCTTATTTGTATTGCAAGGAACAGGAGTCTGAGATCAGTGAGAGTTTTAGGGAAAGGGTGAGGTAGACATGATTGTAGGCATAAGGGAAGTTTGGAGGTGGGTGGAGATGGAGTTGCTGAGATATTTGGAAGGATTATAGGTGGAGGGCAGAAAGGCATTTTAGAGTGTTAGGGCAGAGGAGGAACATCACAGAGAACTGTGCCAATTTCTCTTGGAAGAAACAACAGGATCCTTTGTAGAAGAAAAGGAGGTGCAGGATGGGGGAGAGGCTGAGAGGGAGTTAAAGGTTGCAAAACAATGACTGGGATTCTAGGCCTGGGTACCAATGACAGACAAGCCATTTTACTCCACCAGGAAGTTGACAGAGAAGAAGAGAACCATTGTGTACTAGAGTAATTCTCCATGCTCATGGTAGGTTGTGCAGAGACATTTCTCTAACATGGGGAACAAAAAAGGATCAGAAGGGCCTTGAGGTTTTAGGGATCTGGAATGAAAAGGCAAAAGCATTTTCAGATCAAAAAAGACTAGAGGCTTTGAAGGTGGGGAGGGGGTGGCGTGGTAGGGAAGAGGAATCAACCGGTTTAAAGAAAGTAGAGTTTGAAGGATTATACAACTGAGTCTATTAATGTGAAGAACGAGAATGCTAGTGAAAGGAGACCATAGCTTGAACTTAGAGCTTCTTTGCCATTCAGATGCAATGATAATAGTAAAAATTAAGGAGCACGTTGGGTGTCCAAGTTGTTGAGTGCACATCTGAGCAAAAACGGGACACTTAAATCCTGCCCCACACACCTCATAGTCCTGCAGATCTTGCTCCAAGTGAAGAACTTTCTTCAGAGCAGAAGCAACATGCTTCTTTCTTTTTTTCAAGAAGTCTTGCTCTTCCCAGCACAAGTCAAACCCCAAGCGCATGTCTAGGTCTCCTGGGCTGGAACAAAGGTGAGAACCAAAACAGGCATACCCATTGTTACGGATAGGTGGTTTCAGTAACATGTAAGTGTTTCAGGGCACATAAATCAACCAATTACAAAAAGTGTCAGATTTACAGAGTAAAATCTCTTATACAAACAGACTGATGTAAAATGAAGGAGAGGGGATGGGGCTGCCAAATTGCTACCACTTCTAGTACATAAGTACATTATATTAATGAGAACAGTGGATATTGTATATATGCTATTTATGTTTTGTGGAAAGTTCCCATTTTCAGTGCAACTTAATTAAAAATCATTTGCTTTTAGAATGTTTGCACAAGCTACTAGCAAGCTGTCAGTATATTCTTTCCATCAAAAGGCAAGTTGAGGGTAGAATTTAGCTGACAAAAGTAATTACCAGCCAAAAGGGAATGGATCTCTTACCAGTTTTCTGCTTTCACATGCAAATCAAATCTTTTATCCTGGAAATCAAAAATTCAACTACCATTAGTGCTATCATATTATAAAGGTTTTCTTTCCCTCAGCATTGGACTACATTTTATTTGATCCTTCCTTAGCAATGCAGACACAATGTAAAGACCCCAAATAAGCCAAGAATGAATACAGTTTCAGGATCGCTACTTCATTTTCTCAGAGAAAATTTCCTAAAATTTTTCAGTGACTGCACCAGTGCTAACCAGTGTTTGCCTTCTCCTATCCAGTCATATTTGATTTGTAATCCACATCAGCAACACTTAACTCTGATAAAAAATACTTTATCAGTAGATCTGAAAGCCCTTTTCAAAGGGTGATCTGTATCTGTAGCACAGTGAAGCTATCTCAGGTTCATCACTAGTAAGAATACGCTCAGCTGAACAGAAGGAAGAGAATACCAGTGCTTCAGGACACAGAATAAATATTCATCATTAAGAGTCAGGCACAAAGTGACAAAATTATTGGAAACCAGCCGAATGAATCTAGTTCAAGATAACTCAGGGTGCGTGCAAAATGTTTACTGCAGAGCTGACTAGGTAGCATGAAACTAATAAACTCTGGAGGTTTTTCATGTGCAGCAGCACACACGTAGTTGCCGCTCAGCTGGCTGAGGCATGGGGATGCTTCAGTGCAGAGGCTGCCTGCTGGCTAGACCCACACTGAAACACTCTCATAGCCCAGTGAGCCTCTTCGCACCACACTGAGCTCTGGGCTGCTGCCAGTTGGGGCTGCTCTGACTGGGCTCAATGTGCTGTGCACAAATAAACTCTGGAGCAATATACTCTAGAGTTTTTGTTCCTGGGTGCATGTTCAAATGGTGCTCCCAGGAACAAAAATCTCTGGGGCAATATGACCTGGATTTTATTTCTTTGCATTAATTGCCCGTGTAGATGTGCCCGGCTTGTACTTAAAAGCCTTTTATTGCTACTAGTCATTGTAAACCATGGGTTTATGTGGGCAGTGGTAGATTTTCCTTTAAAAACATCAATTGTCAACCTTCCTTACTATAGTTGACTGGGTTTAAATTATTGTGAGACATGTTACTGATAGCCAGAACATTTCAGAGTTCTTGAAAAAGACAGGTATTCAAAACTTTTTCAGGCAACTGTAGCGATTTATCGATGTGCTGCATTTTTTATGTAGTCATGCTCAGTAAAATGAGTTTAGAATCTTGAAATGCCCCATCTCAGGCACATTAACACAAGACAGGGTATACTTGTACCTAGACTAACTAGATCAGAAATTCATAAGCTTTTGTACAAAAGCATATGCATCTCTGATCTAGTACGTCTATAATGTGCAAATATACCCTGTTTCTGCCTGACTTCAGAGTAATTTAGCTAATCTCTCTGCACATAAATACAACAGTTGTTTTGGAGTAAGCCCAGGCAGTGTGGTCATAGCTGGAGCAGCACTGTTAGAAGCAGTGGGTCATGTGAAGCTTGCAGGAGATAACTAGATCTGGCTCCCAAGATATATATAGCTGGGCAAAGATAGAGCCTTCGGGCTGACATCATCACTTTCAACTAAGAGCTGGCACTCACCTCTGCTACTGTTATTTTTTCTCCTACAGGAAGTGAATTGAGATTCACATGTGGGGGGCCTCCCTTTGTGTTACAGGCATAGGTATGCTGAAAAAAAATACACACAAATTCAATTTACAAAGAGTGTTACATCCTCCCCCATGAAGACAGATTCATGTTGCCATTTAATGTATATATTTCTATGCATTTTACAAGTCCAGTAATAACTTACGAAGGAGGAAGGCAGGTGCTTCTTTGGTAGCTTAATATCAAGTACTGGCTGCTTATATTTGACATAGTGGAATGTAGTGGGACATGAAGAGCTAAAAACGGTATCATAGCCAAACATAATGTCCTGGGTCTCCTCATGGGATCCTTTCACCGAAAGGGATAGGTCTTTTCCTAAAGAAATGAGATAAAACTCGTAAATCCTTTGAACTTTATCTGCCTGAAATCCTGTACTTATGGGAGTTGTTACTTATTAAACTGATTAGACATTCTTGGTTTTGATCTTAAAATGGCTTAAAATTACCCAACATTACTTCAAGATACAGTATAAACCCATATATCTAACATAAAAGTCTGGATCAATCAAACAGAGCAATCAATCTAAGTCTCTCTAGGGTAGGTTTATTTTATTTTATAAACAACAGGTGCGTATTATAATTGTTTGCTTAGAACTAGCAGCCAGCATGGATTTGTTAAGAACAAATCATGCAAAACTAACTTGATTTTTTTCTCTGACAGGTTAAATTGTTTGATAAAGGGAATGCAGTGGATATAATCTACTTGGACTTCAGTAAAGTTTGAAATAGTCCCACATGACAGTCTGAAATTGGAGAAATGTGGGCCAAGTAGAATGACTGTTTAATGGATATGCATGTCTAACATCTTCAAAAAGGTTAAATAACTGCAAGCAAAGAGTAACTGTAAATGGATGAATATCAGAATGGCAGGGGGGGGGTCAAGCAGGGTCTACAGAGATCTGTTCAGGATCTGGTATTGTTTAACATTTTTATTAATCAATGAAGGAATATAGAGGATCTTGGTCAAGTTTGGAGATGAGACAACATTGGATTGCAAATATTTTAGAGAACAGGACTAGAATCCAAAACAATCTTGATAAACTGGAGAACTAGGTACTATACAACAACACAACATTCAACAAAGACAAATGCCAAGTATAAGGTTCTACATGCACTGTATAGAAAAGGTGAAGAAAAAACAAATAAATACAGAATGAGACATAATTGGTTAGCAGTAGGCAGTAACATTGCTGAGAAGTATTTGGGGACTTTGGTAGATCACAGACTCACCCTAAATCAGCAATGTGGTGCAGTTGCTAAAAAGCAAATGCTGTGTTTATGAAAGCATAGTTTAGAGAGGCAGTTAGACATGTCATCTTGATGTGAGGCAAAAGGCAGGGCAGGGGGGCACCTTATACTAACAAGTTTTTTTCTGAGTTAGTCTATAATGTGTCCCCTGCCCTGCCTTCTGCCAATGAGAGAACTAGTATGTTTAGTCTGAAGAAAAGGAGATTCATAGGGGACATAACAGCAGTTTTCAAATATTTGAAAGGCTGCCATAAAGAAGGGCAAGAACAGCAATTCTCCCTGTTTCAGAAGGAAAGACAGACAGCAATGGGTTTAAACTGTAGCAAAGCAGATTTAGATTAAAACTCTGGAAAAACCCTGCCAACAATAAGAACAGTGGGGCAATGGAATAAACTGTGCACGGAAAAAAGATCTATTTCACTGGAGGGTTTTAAGAAGACGCAGCAAGGTAGGGATCTGTCAGAATATTTTAAGAATAGTGCACCCTGCATTTATTTAGCAGATTGAACTAGCTGACCCTTGGCTAGGGACAGACATTACATATAATCCAGTTTAAGTAATCAGAAACTGGTTTAAACCTGTAACAGAACAGGTGTTCAGTGCACATAAACCAGTTTGAAAATGGCTGAAACTGGTTTCAGATAAACCTGGTTGAATGTAGTATCAGACTTAACTGATTTGGGTCAAACCAGTGTATGCAATGTCTGTCCCAGACCCCTTCCTGGTTTAACTTAATCTAGAGTCCCCCAGCATCCCAGATGCTTTGCAGGGCTGTCTGCTGGAGTAGAGCAGGTTTGGTCCCACCCCTCTCTTTCCTAGCCAGAGCACTATCACTGCTCCAGCTGGCTGAGGGACTGCAGCAGCTGCCAGGTTTTCCAGTAGCCCAACTGGCTACTCAAGCAGGGATCCTCCCCGCCCCTCTCCCATGGCAGTGACCCCAGTGCAGGGACCTGGCACCTGGGCATGCCCCTCCCCCGCATGCTAGCTAATGTGGAGAGGTGTCTGTGTGGGTCTCCAATTTCACTGGAACAAAGGGCAGACAGCTAGTGGTTTGCAAATGCAAATGCACTCTGCAGATAAGAAGAGCTTGAAACTAGTGAGAGAGATGTTTATTTTTAGGGCTTGATGGACCAATAAGATTTGTTCTGACAAGCAACCTGCTGGTTGCAATCTGTCAGTCTTCCAGAGGGGACAGAGAAAGGTGTTAGAAATGACCTGGTTTGCCGACAGCCTGAAGAAGCAGGGAGATGGAGATTGAAAAGCTCAGTATCAACAGATGCAGGGTCTGGCAACATTTCTGCCCCTTGAGCAACCAGTGGGGAAAAGCCTGGGACAGTGCAGGCAGGCATCAAAGCATCCTACTGAGGCCTAACAAAGCCCTTCCCCGCCCCTCCCCCAACCCTTTAGCTCAGCACTATGGAAGGGAAGGGAGGGCTGGTTTAGCTCTCTCAGCTTCTAGCCTTAGCCACTTGCATTTCTGGAATGAAAGGAGAATGTCTATCCACCTCCAAATCGGTTTAAGGTTTGTGGGTTAGACTAACCTGCAAAGATTGAATCAATTCAGACTCAGGCTTTTTGAATGTCTGTCCCTAGCCTCAAGGTTTCTTTCAATCCTATGATTCTGTTTGTACACCCTTCTCTGCCAAGCAAGTAGGTGATCTAAATTGTCTGGGGAGGCACCTAAATTTCCCCGTTCACAGTAGAGAAAACATAGTTACCTAATCCTGTCAAATTGAGGTCAACCCATGGAGCAAGGTGCCTTCCTTTTTTGTGTTACAGCACCCAGCTGGAGGCATTTTACAGGTTGTTTAGAATCTGAGCTAATCAAAAGCTATTGATTCATATACCAGCTTCTTAAAAAATATGGTAAAATGAATTATCATGCTCATGTACCACAGTTTGGGAAGCCCTGGATAATTCTGATTTGATAATCGGACTTAGGCTTCTAAATCAATGAAACATTTTTTTAAATGTCACCCTTTGCTCAACTTCCTTTCTCAAACATTTTGCTTGTTCTTTCTGTTCATACTGTCAGCTCTTCAGAGTGGGGACTTCTCTTACTGATATCCTGTCTAATCTGGGGAAGGGGTGTTTGATAAAAATGACCATTAGCCAAAATAATATCATTTGAAATGATTGGGAGAGATACTAGACAAGCTTTTATGCTTAAAATGCCCCTCACCAGGAACATCTCTCCAAACCCATCTCTCTTTAGTTGGTTCTCTCCCAATTTCTCTTCAGCTGATTCAATAAAGCAAGCAAGTGTTGCTTCTTGCATATTCCTTGGACTACCACAGCAATAACACCTCTAGAAATGACCACATTTTTAAAGTACCATTTATTATTCAGTTTTGACAGAGTCTAACACGTTCAAAATGGTGTTGATTGGTGATGGTCTTTTACAGTACTAAAATTCACCATATTCCTATTACATTTCTTCATTCATGACATACCAAGTTTGAATTTTTTTTAGGACAGACTTTTTTTTTGTTACACAGGTACAAAGATGCATCTAAGGGCACTTGTACATATGATACCATTACCATATGCACATGATTAAAATGTCACTTTGTTTGGTTTAATGGTATCACACTGTCCACGTGTAAGAGTTTTGGGGGTTTTAAATTAATTTGCATCATTGCAAACTACGTTACATCCCCATGTAGTTTAGTTCACAATGATGCATTGCAACTATTAGTCAACTTGCCCATTGGCCGTGGGAGAGACAGGCAGGAAAAAGGATCCTGTGGAAGGCAGAAGCAGTGAGGGGCCCGATTTTTTTTCCCCAAAGGAACCTGCCTGCCTCTTCCATGGCTGGGGGGTGCTGCCCCAGCTCAGGGTCAGGAAAAAGTTGAATATGGTCAGATCTGCCCACTAGCAGGCTACCCGAGTGGTTCCAGGGGGTGTTGCCACCATGGAGGGAAGGACTGGGGTCCCCTGCAGCTCAGGGACCACTCAGCCCACCAGCAGCTCAGCCCTCAGCCGCAGGTAGGCTCCACTGGGGGAAAAAAAAAAAGGATTGAGCCCCTTTTTGTAATAGTGACAGAAAAATAAAATCCCACAGTTTCAATTAAAAATCCACCATTTCAATTTAGGGGGCAAGGAATGCAATCCTAAGGACTAACCCCCTGTCATGTGTACAAGCACTCTAATAACTTTCAAGAAGATGAAAAAAGGCTTTCAATGTATCTCAGGAACTAAGTATGTGTTTATACAGAATAATTCACTACCATGAAGAGGTACACAAATTAGCACAGTGTTCCATCCTGCATTAGCACAGGGTGAATTAAGCTGGGTGGAACATTGTATTAATATGTCTATACCACTTCTGGTACACAAGGCAGCTCAGGTATCTCTGTATGGCACTGCACCATGTAAACATTCCTTAACTGCTAAATAGAGTTTAAAATTGTGTTAATTATAGCATGTTAAAAAACAGGATTTAAAACAAGAACAACAACAACAAAGATCTTATTTTGCCTTCTAGACAAGATTGGGCCTGTAGGTTTGTACATGCCTAGGGGTCATGAAACCCCAAGATACCATTACACTATACAAATAATATTAGTAGTGGTCTAAATAGCCAAAAGAACTAGAAAGGATTGCATTGACTTTGTGATATGTTTCTAAAGACACACACAATAGAATATGGAAAAACAACATTAATGCAACATTATATTTGAGATTTTAATCAGCCTGAAGACAGACAATTCTAGTTATGATTCTAAAATCAATTATCATTCTACACTCTTGAACAGACTTTTTTATCATTAAATGAATATAGACCCAGACAACATGGTTCACTGTTTGGCAAATTGTACAATACAATGCAAAGAAATTGCATTCTTTTCTCAAAGTGCAGATGCATATATATCATATTCTGAATTATTTCACAGAAGCTCTATAGTCATGTAATGAAATCCCTGCTGTGTTACACACAAGTTCATATAAAGGACCAGAGTTCAGGTTTCTGTGAGATCTGTCTCTCTGATTGTTTCACTTTTTTATGTGATTTAAATCTCAACTTGAATGCTGCTTTAAAAGAGTTTATTTGTATATAAGTATATTGATGCACTCGATGTAATCTATGCCATTTTCTAGTTGCTAATAAAAGTTTGTATGTTTCAGTACTATATCAGATCACTCACTTAGGTTAAGACAGAATGACCAATTGTCTTAATTGAATTATTAAGTGGTCATATATAACCAGTTTGTGAAGCAGTAATCTTACTTGAGGAAGGCTTCCTTCTCTTTTTCTTCTCATCCACCTGAACTTCCAAGCAGCACATTTCACGAGACTATAAATAGAGAGGAACACCATAACTCAGGATGGGGAATATCATGTATTTAGGTCCCATTTCCCACCCTGGTCTATCACAGTGGATATGTAGATTGACTGCTATGCAGGTGACATGCCCAACCCCTAGGAAAAATGAATTCCTGAGATGGCTGAGCAAGGCAAAGCAATTATGGATTAAGGACTCCATGGGGAGTTTTAGCAGTCATCAACTGTAACAAGGCACGTTGTGACAAAGTACAGAGTTTCTAGCTTAGAAACTATAAGGTTAGGCAAACTTACAGTTTTTTCTTATTATTATACTAGCAGGGATGGAAAGGATAAAATGAATGGGAGAAAAAGCAAGAACAGATGTCATTGCTGGAAGACTTTTTGTGTGAAGTGTTAGAAATGTGTAAATGCTGGTAATGTTAGGGAATAGCCTAGGAGTAATTCCTGTGGGAAAGCCCATAATTTGCCCAGTCCCATCCTCTGATACTGTATGAAATTATGCAGTATTGTTGCCCAGGAAGAAGCTAATACCTACATAATATCACTCTGTCTCCCTTGAGGAAATGGGGTAAGAGAACCAGCTGTAAGGAGAGTCATAACCAAATCGCTTCCAAGTTTTGCTTCTGCAATATTGGAAGAATGCTAGTTTTGGGCACCTCACAACTATTCAAGTCATAGTCCCCATCATGCATGATACAAAGGAGGAAATAATATGAAGCAGATGACTAAAAGTAGAATCACATCAGTTCAGTCTCAGATCCTCTTAGCACTAAAGTATGTTGCTCTGCTGACTTTGGGCCAGCTCAGCCTCTCTTGCTCCACCTATATTGGAGGTATTGCTACAGAAAATGGAAGATCACAGAACACAGAAGTTACCACTAGTACTCCATTGGTGACAATGGTTTCAAGTGGGCCAAGCCTAGGAAACACAAGAAAAAAAAAATTAATTACTCATACAGCATAATTTTATGGGTCACACTTTTCATTTTTATCTTGCTTATCTTAGTATCTTGGTTAACCTTAGAAGTGTTGGGTCTGAAGGGAATAATTCTAAAAGACCTGTTTCCCAATACGGCTTTGTCAAGGCACAACCACTAAAGCACCTGCTATTTATGTCCTGGAGTACAGCTAACAGAAAATTCTCACTGAATCAAACCAAGTAGTTTCCTAATATTTGCCATGGTGCGATTCTACATAGGTTCATTGGGTCAAAATTAGAAATTTGAAGCCAGGGTTCCAGATGAAAAATGGATACATTAATCCAAAATATCATTATACCATGAAGAAGAAAGAATTCTTCCAAAGAGAAATTAGGAAACTAAATTATAATTCAACTATCCCACTAATTATGTTGTGCTGACTCTCCAACTAATCATGCCTTAGTGAGTTCTCAGCACTGGAAAGAAAACCCTCTAACTTTTGACTGTTCTTCTCTATGAAATTCTCTCGTCTGTTAATGAGACAGACTACAACATTCTGGAAGAGTAAGTTTGCCATAAATCTCATTAGAAATCAGTTTTTTTTATCAGTAGTGTCAAAGAATGGTGCATTCCAGACTACTTAGATACATTCTTTTATTACTCTCTGAACTGTTGCTTCTGTTGCAGATTCTGCACTATTTAACATTTACTCACATCTGGTCCAATGTAAATTCCACCTCTAGTTCTTCCTTCCCCTGAAAAAAAGAAAAGAAAGACATTTAAAAAGAAAGGAAATATAGGTGGTTACTACTATACCACTGATTCTCAGATGGTGGCTTATACTTTATAGATGATCCACAGATTTCAGGAGTGTAGGTTGTAGCCGTGTTGGTCTAAGGACATAGGCAGACATAGTTCTTTTACCCAAATAACCTTGTCTGTGGTGATCCACAGAGTATTTAGTGGTAGTCCATGGAGAACTGGTACCAGTTTCTATTTGTTTCCAGCTGCTTTTATGCAAGTATCAAGGCTCTTTAGGGATCTGAAGATCCTGGATGACAGTAAGCTACTAACAAAGAAAAGGAACTGGTGTGTCAGCCTCTACTCGGAACAACTGTTGCATAGTAGGAGGAAACAAAACAAGATGCTCTCACAGATCAGTGCTACTGGTAGAACTTTGGGCCAGCTCACCCCACCCCCAGTGGAAGAGAAAAGAGGGGCTGTCAGTGGCACTGAAGCTTTCCAACAAGAGGCTATTCTGGGCAGGCAGGGAAGAGGATAACTAGACAACTAAAAAAATTGAGCAAGAGAGCAGTGGAAAAGGAAAACCAGTTGCTCAGCAGCATCCTCTGGGCACTAGAGTAGAAGGAAAATCTGGCATAAGGGCAGCACATACAGGACTGTAAGAGAGTGGTATTGGGGGTGCATTCACATGTGCGTTAATGTGACATTATTACTGTGCATTAAGTTTAGTACCTATAATAATAGGTACTAACTTAATGTACAGTAGCGCCAGTGCATGCTTTTTTAGTGACGCTAATGTGCAGTAGACTAATTGTACTGTACATTAGCGGCTTTTGCTGCTAATGTGCAGTAGAATTAGTCTACTACACATTTAGAGTTTTGGGTAGACATGCCCAGGTAGTAGAAAATCATGTGCAGAGGAATGGGAAGGAAAGCTGGGACGTGAGAAGATGAATTGGAGAGAAGGATACTACATGGTTAATATATACTTTTGAAGGAGACAAAATACTGTTATCACATTAAAAATAGCTAGAATTACCTAAAGGACGTGTCTACATGTGCATTTAAGTGTGCCTAAATTTAATACACATTAGCTTAATGTGAAATAAGCGGGTTTAGGCAGGCATCTACACCTGCAGGCATTAAAGCACATTAACGCTGTGTGTGGACTGACTTGGGACTAAAGTTAGTCCCAAGTCAGCCGACACACAGCGGTAATACGCTTTAACTCATGTACACATTCGTTAATGTGCTTTAACTATTCACCCCTAAATTTGGAGGTATCAAATTTAGGTGCAAATAGCCTGAAATTGCCATTTTTAATGTGCATTAGGAGCATGCATGTGTAGACATGTATGCCCTTAATATGCATTAACTTAGGCTAATGCAATTTAAAACATCATGTGTAGAGGCACCCAGATTCTATTACCATACTTTTGGATGTGAGCAAGTGTTGTAGTCATCACAGGCATTTGTGTGGCTAATAGGATCACCATTAGGATATTAGAAGGCAAAGCAATCTCTCTGTTCAGATTTGCAAAAATTGAGAGCCCCTGAATTATGGGATGATTCTTCTCCTTTGAAATGACTTCCCCTGATGACTGTAAACCTGACCTAAGTAGACAGGGAACTTCTGCTCATTTATCTTCAATTTCTGATTCGGCCACAATTTATTGCTTCTCTTCAATGTTTTAAAAATGTAGTTGCAACACAGTTTCTGCTTTCACTATGAGTCTTGAACACCTACGTTCTTGTTATTTTGACCACCCTAGAGGATGTTAAAAGCACAACAGAGATTCTTCACATGTATGCACAGAAGTTATTCCCATCCTTCCTAGCCCATACTGTTTATCTTAGAACATATACCCCCAATGCTCACAAACACTGGGTAGATATCTTGTTCCTAAACTTCACTGTTGATTGTCCCTCCTTTCCAGCCACATATTGCATTGCAATTTATCATTTAGAAGGTGATTGTAAAATACAGGTCCCAGTTTTCAAAATACCACTTTCCATGTTTGTATTTGCATTCTAAATGGAAATTTATGTGCCCGGTTATCAATGTAACTGACTAATTGTGTGATTTAGAAATTTTGTTTAGGGAATCATGCTTGAAAACTGGTGCGACAACATATATTATTAGTCAGCTATTTTTATGCTAGGTTATCGCACTGTCTGTTCCAGATTGCAGAGCTATTATTCCATAATTGCTGGATTAGTGACAACAAGTTCTAACAATGAACCACATGTGAAATCCACTTGCGTGGGTAATCTATGCTAAGCTTTACCTGTAGCAAACAGACTCACGTAGGAAACTCATGTAGTAAACAGACAGCTCTGTCAAGAGCATCCAGCATTTACCGCCCTCTATTGCCAAAATGCTCTCCAAATGCTCTGAGACCAAATCCCATTGGTAAAAGACTTACAAGGCTTGAGAAAGAGACAATATTCCCCATTGTATGGTTGGACAATTAAATATATAGGAAGGAAGGCAGAAATGGCTTCCTATCAACATTTTAGGCAGTGAACCAGGCAAACATGCAGTGTGAAAGAATAGGTCAGGTGGAAGAAAGCCAAATTCATGGGAGTGGGAAAAAATATGGGGCAAAAGGAAGGTCAGCTGAACCTGCTCAGTCTGTTCACCCAAATCTTCTGTTATTTCAGACTCACCTGTGTGTCAAACTTAAAGTACATGAGGACTGGTTCTCCAAATGGAAGTTTGGCCACATCGAAGTGCACAGTGAAGAGATGGTCATCTTGAGTAACAACATCGTCATCATAGATAGCCAGCTCCAACACATTCTACAAAGATATGTGGAAGATCTTTGAATTTCTGTATTTTAGGTTGAAGAGTCCAGAAAACAGGGAATCCTGAGGATAGCCTGTACTTGGTTTGTGGAAAGAGAAGGGGAGCAACGACAAAGGAGAAGAGAGGGAAATAATGTGTGTGTTTGTAGAAGAAAGAATGGGAAAACATTGCATCTCACCTTGAAACAAAACATCCTAAACAATATATTCTTAATCTACAGAATGCTGTGTTTCCCCAGTCTACAGATATATATCTGGCTGAATTATACACTTGGCTTTTGTAGCATGGACCAAGATGCCATACTTCTGTGTTGATCTGAGTAGGACATCTGTCATTTCACAACCTTCTGCATATTTTCCTGCCAACCAGGAATAATGCCTACAGCCTTTGTATGTGAGAAGCAGCTGGCAAAAGATTTCTAGATTACAGATAGCAGAAAGTTCTGTTTCTTAGGTCCCTGTTACATGTTGCACTTCGAGGTGCTCAAATGTTGGTTGGTGTTAGTACTAGCTGGAGTTTGCAGCAACCACACCTTAAGGCTAAAAACTTTATCTGACTGTTCCCAACCTACACAGCTGTGAGTTGCCACTACAGGGCTGGTGAGCAGAAACCCGACTAGAAGCTACAGCTGTGAGTTGCCACTACAGGGCTGGTGAACCAGGACAGGTTTCTATCTCTGCTTTGGCCAGGGGGGGTGGAGGGGCAGTGTGGGAGATGGGAGGGGGCGGGGAGGAACATGAAGCTAAGAGGCTGAGCATTAATGGGATGGAGGTGGGTAATGAAATGGGAGGTGGAAAGGAAATGACCAGGGGGGAAGTGTGGTGAACTGAAGGAAGTCAGCCACTGAAGGATAAAATAAAAAGTAAAAAGAAAAAAATGTAAAAGTAAATAAAGAGGAAGTAAATTAAGTAAGGTCTCATGTTTTAATAAACTGGAATTTCAGATTGGGGTTTGGGTGGTGCTGGTCATGCTTCACAGGGTGTCTGGGAGGTGGGAGTGGTGAGGAAAGGTGCTTTTGGGGGAGCTACTGCCCCTGCCCCAGGAAGGAAGCCCCAGCACATGGGGATTCAACCTGGCTCCTACTTTATTCACCACCCCCATCTTCCCTAGACCCCACTGTTGGACCTGTCCATGCCCTGCAACCTGGCTAGCTTGCATGTGATTTGCAGAATGTTTGCACTGGGTTGCACTCCTGGAAGTGGGAAGGTCAGACCCCTGGAGGTGAGAAGGGGAGTTGGCTTATGCCAGAACTGCTCCTGGGCAGTTGAGTTCAGGGAGTAGAACATTTGTCAATGTAGAATAGGAGGATTGGGGAAGGGAACACTGCATCCTGGGATGCTGGAGGACTGCAACTTGGGCAGCTCATTTGTGGGGAGCAGTCAAAGTAATGGAATACAAGCTGGGTAAAATGGATCACATATAAACCTGCTGTGGAGTGCCATGACTATAAGCCATCTAAAATGTGATCAAATTAGTTTCAGGTGTCAATATGTGGACAATCCAGGGGTTAAGAGTTCCAGGACCTGCCTAAAATTAATGTGAGACAAGACCCTTACCTTGACCTGACTCTGAATCCTGTAATAGAAAGTTTCATTCCAGACGGGGTCTTTGCAGTTCTTGATTGTTTTAGTACGAGCCTTTTCTAATGAAGCGCTTGGCAGCCAAAGGCTCACATAGCAGTCAGTTTCACTTACTGTAGATAAAAATCAAAAATACATACAAAGTGTAAATGTCTTTAGAAGAATGAACTCATTAAACAGTGCTAGAGACATACAAAAAACTAGACCTCTTGGTTCCAAACTGATACCTTTTATGAGACCAACTGGAAAATGGCAAGAAAATTGTCCTTTTTTGCAAGTTTTCAGGAATCAAAGTCCCTTCGTCAGGCTCTGGGAAAAGTGTAGATGGTACAAGATGGTAAAAAGTCCCCATAGGTCGGAAATAAGCTTTCGGGAATCAAAGTTCCTAATTCTACCTGATCAACACAGCAAAGAGCTACTCAACACAGTTCACAAAGACACTCCCATGGACCCAGAGGGACAGACTTACATCTTCAGCTCCCTCTGTGCAAAAAATGAAGTTTATTTCCGACCTATGAGGACTTTTTACCATCTTGTACCATCTACACTTTTCCCAGAGCCTGACAAAGGGACTTTGATTCATGAAAGCTTGCAGAAAAGGACAATTTTCTTGCCATTTTCCAGTTGGTCTAATAAAAGGTATCATTTTGGAACCAAGAGTTCTATTTTTTTGTATGTCTTTTTGTCTCAGACTAACACGGCTACCAAGTACACCCTTTAAACAGTGCTAATTTTTGTTTTTAGAAAGACAAAGAAACTATGGTTTATGTTTTCATTTCATTTTTTTTCATATCTTTCCAACACAAACTGCCAAACCCAGATTATATGTATGGGGAAGGAAGAAGAAGACTTAATTCTTCCTCATATAAATGCAATAATAGATAAAATTAACATAATTAATTAATGAAAGGGGACATTTGCCCTTTAATATAACTAACAGGTAATTTTTTATGAAGTTCTTTTTAAGTTTTACTTGTAAAAATTAAAAAAATATTTAAAATGGCCTATCGGGGGGGGTGGGGTGGGGGTGGAAAACTTAGCTATATGGCTCCCTACTCTATGAGATGGAGTATCAGCTTGCATATTGTATATTCTTTAGACTAAGGGCCACCTTCACCCTGATTAAGCAGGGCAGCTTCAGTGAAGTAGAATATCTTGCTAGGATTCTTAAGACACCATGGAGCAAATGAAATTATTTAGAGGTTAGCTACACTAGGAAGTTGGTTCACATTAATATTTGGAGGGGGGAAAGGCGTGGAGGGTGGAATGGGAGAGAGGAGACATGGTAGGCAAAGGTGTGAATTTACAGTGCACTAGTTATTTTGCATCAATTTTTAGCATGCACTGAGTGTGAAGGAGTTCATGCCATTTTCAAAGTGAAGGCAAGGTGCACTAGGAGGGTTTTCACCAGAAACTTAGCAAAAAGGCTAGTGTACTATAAATTCACACATTTACCTACTGTGCTGTATTGTTCCCATGTAGCAGGGTTGCCAACTGTCAGTAAATTTACTGATTGCCAGTAAAAAATATGGCTAAAAATGGAGTCCATAAAAAAAAATGATAGCCATCAGTAAAAACACTAATCAGCCTCAGCTTGATTGAAGCTCCAACAGGCAGAACATAACAGCATCACCTGGTGTTGGAGTGCGAATGAAGCACTCGCAAGGATCATTTTCTCAGGCATGTACTGTTCCTGTTGCATCCTGGGCTGCCTGTAATGCTGCTGGGTTGCAGTTAGGCATCTTTGGGCTGGTGCTCAGCCCCGTGTGTCCTCTCTCACCTTCCACCCTTCTCTGTCCCACGCCCTTCCACCTGAGACATGCTGCTGCCTGTGACTACTCCAAGTACAGAGCTATGACAAATCTCTAGAACAGCAGAGATACTCACAGACATCTGTCCGATGGATATTCCTTGCTCTTATGATTCTAACAGTGAGCAAATAACAAGGAGACAAGCTTGTCTGCAGAATAGCAACATGCAAAAGACAAGGGTAAACAATAACATTAGAAGTAGTCAGGAAACAGAAAAAAATCTAACATATAAGCCAACTATTCAGTCAAGTTACTGCATAATGATAAAATGTTCAGTGAGTATATTTCATTACTAAACATCTGTACCGCATTGTAGACTGAAATTCTTCCTTCTAGTTCAGTGGTTCCCAAGCTTTTCAGATTCGAGGCACCCCTCATTAGACAGCCTTTCATAACTTTTGTAAATTGAGTGGCACTCTACTTCAAAAGCTAATTTTTTGTATTATAGTGCTTACCTCCTTTCAGAGTAGTGGATCCACCAAGCAGGGAAAGCCTGAGCTTGCCTTTATTTGCTTATCTCCTCACATTTCCTGTGGTACCCTTCAAAGGATCTTGCAGCACCCTAGAATGCCCTACCACCCTGGTTGAAAATCACTGTTTTAGTTAAAACTATATGATATGAGATATAGATGTGGGGTTTTCTGTTTCAGGAAGATGGGCATGTCTACACCTTGCCAGGTAGAGATACCAAGTTAGCTTGGGTGCAGGGAATCAGTATAGCCACATTAGCACAGCCAGTTAGTAGGGCTGTGTGAGGCTTCAGATCGTGCTTTGGATCCGGGGCTGCTTCAGACACTTCGGCCTCCCACTGCCAGAGGAAGAGCTGGAGCTGGAACCAGGGATGCTGAGTGCGCTGGCTCAAGCAATTCTGGGGACTGAGGGGGAATGTGAGTTTGTGCTCCACACCCCTCAAGTTTCCCCTAGATCCAGGTCTCCTCCGGAAAGCAGCACCTCGGAGGAGGCTGAGGTTGTGGAGGCAAGTGGCTCAGCTAAGGCAGCTCTGCCTGCTGTTGAGCCTCAGACTGCTGAGGAGTGGGAAAAGGCAGGATCCTCACCCTCAACCCTGAAGCGGAGGGAGTAGTGTAGTGTGGGAGCATTTTGAGGTGGCAGATGATCCCAGGTTTGCCATCTGCCAGCACTGCTGAAGGCACATAAGCTGTGGCAAGGACGTGAAACACTTCTCCACCACAGCGATGCTGCTGCATCTGAGGAGGCACCATCCCCTTGCCCTTCTTCCTGCTCAGCCTGGCACCCCTGCGAGTGTGCTGAAAGGGAAGTTCCCCGCTTGCTCCAAAGCCCCCTTTCCCCACAAAGCAGAGGCAGGCCACCCTGGACCAGTGGGGGAAAGGTGGACAGAAAGGGGGACGCATTCCCAAGTTGAGCGAGATCACCCACAGCATTGGGGAGATGCTTGCTCTGGATAGCCAGCCCTTCTCCCTAGTTGAGTGGCCAGGGTTCAGGTGGTTCATAGCACTTCTGGCCCCATTTTACAAAGTGTCTGCATGCACCACCTTTAGCAGGGTGGTGGTACCCTCCCTGTATGAGGCATGCAGGGAGTACTTGAGGGAGGAGCTGTGAAAGGCAGGGCCACAAGTAGCCTTACACTTTACCTCTGACATCTAGAGCAGCCAGGGTGGTGATCATGCCTACCTGTCCCTCACAGGGCACTGGTGCAATCAGTCAGGCTGTCAGTGGGTTCTACTACAAGCTGAGGTGCTGGGTGAGTCCCACACAACAAGGGAGATCACGGGGGCCACGAACTGCATGGTGCAGGGGTGGTTCATTGGGCAGGCCAAGCTCACCCACAGGTTCATGGTCACCGACAATGGGGCCAATATGGTGAAGGCTGTCCATGATGCCAACTTTGTTGACATCCGCTGTGTGGCACACAGGCTCCACCTAATAGTGAGGGATGTCTTGGAGGGGGACAGGGCTGCCGGTGACAGCACCGCCACCACTACTGCTCCCAGC